CTATGGATTGTTAAAACAAAACCTTTGTAACGGGCGCGAGGTAATTCCGTTAATTGGACTTGGAGGTAGGAAGAGAGTGCAGGTGCGCAAATAGAATCTCGGCGCCGAAGTGAACGCGAATCTCCTTCCACTATTTGCACAATCGCGCGCAAAATCCAACGCTGACAAAGAAAAGGACCGATTATTTATTTAGCATCGAGGAGTTCGTCATCGGTGGGATAGCAAAATAGCGACGACAATAGAGAAGAAAGAAGCTGCATTAGTGGCGAGTAATGAGATTGCTACGTTACATTCTTGCTTTATTCTTTAAGCGGAGAAAATCTCTTAGTGACACCAGTTAAAATCGCACTGTTAAATTTTCAGATAATATAACATCAAAGTAATAGTTTATATTGGCAATGGGTGGGAACGCGTTATTCCTGTACTGAGAAAAAAATCTCGTTGCATTAATTAGAATTCTAGTAGATTCAACCAGTATATCTGTTGGAAAATGGACGAACCAAAATTCTTGTAGGAATTACCAGATGAATCTGATTAATTTCTTCCTGTTAAATTTATTAAATTTTTTAGTTAATAATACTAAACTCACCAGTACCAAGTCGTTTAAAATTTTTTCCGTCTAATCTCAAAAGTCTGTTTAATATTCTGAATTCCAACAAGATTATAAATTCAATCCAGATTATTGAATAAATTTTAAATTCAGTTTGTTAGAAATTAAACTGATAAACAGTGATGCAAGAAGAGGATGCAACTCAAACACACGCAATCAGCGAGCTAGCGTCCTCTTTCTGGCACTACTGCTTGTAAGAGAAAAAAAATATACTTTGAATTTAATGTTAATACTAGTTCTTTATACACATTTCATGGCAAATATTGAATACGAGTTAAGTTAAGAGTGGCAAGCAAAGAAATTAATGTAACAAGAAATTGTATAGATCCAACAAGAAAATACTAACCAAATCCTTACAGTAAAATCTATTAAACGTTTTAGTTATAAAAAATCGAGTTTTATATCATGATAACTAGAAATTCTTGTTTAATTTAACCAAAATGCCTTCAATCATATACGTCTTGTTGGTACAATCAAACGATTTTTCTCAGTGTGTGAAGAAACGTGATAAAGTTTAGTGAAGTTTCGAAAAATCAGTGATATAACTTTGATAATTCCTCAGGATTAAAAAAAACATTAAGTTACTGACTACGTCAGCAAGCAATTATTAAATAGTCTTGATTGATTAAACTTGCGATTCTCAAAACTTTGCAATCCCCTCAAATGATAAATGACTCTTCTTCCGTAGCTTCATCTCTTTCGTCATTCTTTCCGCCAGCGTATCTACCTTGAATGTAATTATTGATTTTATCGAAATTGAGATTGGAAAATAGATAATCTATTACTTTTTTTACAATGAAAGAAAACCTCTTTTTATTAAACTGGTTATACCACGTGAATTGCAGAGTACACGTAATTAAAACAATCGATCACATTCATGATTGAAATACACCTACACAAACGAGTATCTCTAATTATCTGAAACTTAGAGATTTAGAATATTTAATACATTTTTATTGTCTGTCTCTTTCTTTCTAATTAATATTTTTAATACGGTATTCAGTTAAAAGGAACAAATGAGAAACTCTTTATCCGCTTACTGTAAATCCTTCAAACGTACACGCTTCGTAGTTCACGAGAAGTTGACTACGTGCAGTAATTTATCATCTGTCTGCAGGTAATCTTGTACTCTCGAATTTACGAAGCATATAAGATGCGTTTTCATTTGCGGAAATACCAAATACGGAAATTTACGAAAATTCGACGTAATAATTCTCTCGTTAAATTTATTGTACACGACATATTTTTTATATATTAAATATGATTACGATAAAAATACATACACGAATATTCGACAACGCGTGTAAAATATTTCATTCATTTAAATTCTAATAGAGGCAAGCACTAAAGAGATCTCAATCAAATTTTTGCAGATTTATATATTAATCTCATTGAAAAAAATATCGAACATCGTTTGACGACCGTTACTTTAATTTATCGGTTCAAAGAATGAAATAAATTTTTAGTCGCGGCGTAGGAAGAGAATTATGAGTAATTAATGTGACCGCCAATTTCGTTAATCATGTCCGTTAATTGATTTAATTGAATGCCTTTTATCGCCAATGCACAATTGCTAAGGTTAAAGTGTGCTAAAATTTTCGCGAATATGATCTATACCGTGAATAGAAAGAATAAATCGGCAAAGAATCAACGTGATTCGCGAGATACAATATCTGCGTTTGGGAATCTTCAATCCTTGGTATTCGGGTTAATTAGCGTCTGATCGCGATGCAGATCTCGCGTGTTTCTCATGTCTATCAAGCGGGACGGAATGGATAATACTCAGGTAATAGCGACTAATCGATAATATTAATAATGTCGCGCCAATAATCGCCGATCGCTTACAGACGGGATGGCAAAGAAACAACGGAATGTTGGTCGACGACGTCACCGAACCGTGTAACTTATCGGAAGAACGTACAATAGCCGTTGTAAGTTACGCTGTTTTATTTTCAAATACTGTGGGATTATTTCTGTGTAATATGAAAAAAAAAGTGCAAAATATTTATTACTTCCTTATTTTCTTCGTTAAAATAAACACTTCATCCAAAAAAAATTTCCAACTTTATTAATTTAGATTCGTCTGACTTAAATTTGACTTATTCTACTTTCAAAGCGAGGGACTTTGACATTGTATAAACTTGAAGTTTCAATTTTTGCATATCGATTAATTTGTCTTACATTTACTGGCAAAAATTAAAGAAACCGTATATAATTATATTGAAAGAATATGTTTAATATATTTTTAGTATTTATTCATGTATTCACAACTTTTGCTTAAGAATTATATAATTCTTATTCTTTCCTTCTTGATAAAATACATATATATTTTCTGTATAATCAAGCATAACTAATTAAAGCATAATTAATTATCTACAACGTGAATGAATAAATATAAAATATATTAAATAATTCATAAAAATTCATTATGTTTCTTTGTTATTTTATTATTATTGGAGTAAGTATCTCTGACAATGTATTATCTATTTAGTTTGACTAACGATAAATCGTATATTTATAAAATGTATTCGCTCTAAATTTTTTAAAACTCGACATCATCGTAAATACTGAGACGTAACAATTATGACTCTAAGCACGTAGTTGAATCGCATAAAATATTCGAGTCGGCGCCAGATACAGCCAGGAGCGGAAACAAGAAGACTGCGAGTCGCACTGAAAAGCGGAAAAGTTACGTTGTTTTTTTACAGTCGATCGCAAACTAAGAGACGTCAAGCTCACACTGGTTATTCTTCGCGATTGGACGTCAAATAACTTGGATCGAAAAGTGTAAAGGACCGTTGAGGCGGAAACGCAACAGACAATCAGAAGCGGAAACGCGAGGAGATGTCGAAGAACGTTGGAGCATCGTGGCGGAAACTGTTCAAAAACTGCCCGAGAAATGTTGTAACTTTGACGCCGGCAGAGTGTATAAACTCGCGACTATTATCAGCGTAGAAATCGCAGAGGCGAAACTCTGAATGCCAGTAATGCAAAGTGTAAATACGGTGCGCTCAACGTGTTTACGGGTTATCAACGTCAAAGCATTATAGAATCGGATTTCTACCAACGAATTCTACGCAGACAATGTTTTATCATCTGACAATCACATAATGCTCAATTCGATAATAGTTGCATTTACATAGGGACTCTTTGCTTTTATCGTATTAAATTTTAAGCATCTTCAATCACATATTAAAATGTCAAATAATTTTTGAGTAAACAATCTTAAGGGAAAATTTTCTTCGCAAACTAATACTTTTTTGATAAGACTAAAAATCCTTATTGTTCATCCAATTTAAAAAATGATTTTTCCTTTTTTGGAATTTTAATGTTATCTTTAATGTTATCTTTAAAGTTGCGATGAATATTAATTTTCCTCGAGTTTTTCTCTAAGAAAAAATTTGCTTTGAAAATTTGCTATTTAAATTACAAATTATTATACGATAGCCTTTATCAAAATTGTTGCACGATAATCTTTATCAAGAGCGGAAGCGCAAGATTGTTTCAAACGCATATTGAAGGGAATGCGGTCACGTATTCCACGATCATGCGATTCGATGCATCGGAGTATCGTCGTGGCATGATCATCGTCATCGTTGTCGCGTGATACGCGAGTATGCGAGGGACGCGCAACGCGGAAAAGCCGAGCATAACATCGAGACGGAGAAAAGGCAAAGGAGAATCGGGCCATCGGAGCGTTAACCCTCGTCCGAGCAACCCCTTTTTCTAACTAGAAGAAAAAGCGAGAGCTTCTCTCTCTCTGTCGCCGGGATATTTTTTTACTTGTTCCATAAAAATCACTAGAAAAATAAAGATTAAAATAAAAATAAAGATTAAATAAAGATTAAAACATTTCGCGGAGACCAGTATGTAAACTTTCTCTTTAAAATGCGCAGACGACATTTATAATATTGCCCTGTGTTTTTTCCTTAAAATCCAGGGAAAAACAATTGTTTAAAAAAATTTAACAATGCATGTTATAATTTTATATTTTCTCTCGCTTTTATAATACCGTGATGTATTTATTATATATTATTCAGTTCATTTATTATGTATTACTCAGTTTAAAAAAACTCTTATTTGAGATAGTATTTTGACGCGCTTTGCAATGGCTATAACTGCATCACGCGGTCGGTTGCATATCGCGCATCTTGGCACACGCATAATGCATCGTCTTCCGCCAAGTGGTCAATTTTATTTTTCTCCTGCTTTCAGAAAATGTTAATTCAGCCATTTTTCTTACAAACACTACCTCTGCGAATGAAGTACATCACTCTATCTCGTTTTACTCTGATATGAAAATATTGATGATTACGATTCTGAACAGATCTGACGTTTGCAGCTTACATTGTTTCATTTCAACGTTACTTCTGTTTCATTCAAAGGAGAAAAGGAGAAGATCCCGGGGGTCGATCCGAACCGTAGAGGCCGGACGGTATCCTCCCGCATACGGCCCTCTGTTGACTGAACCGACTTAAGTCAACGCCGCCCACGGTCTGGCACGCGGCCTCCAGTACGCGCCAAGACGAAGAGGGATAACGGCGCGAGAAAACGGGAAATATGGGGGACGTCATCGGGGGACGTGGATCCCCGAGCGACGAAGACGAGATGAGAAAGGGCGAGATGAAGTGCGAGATGACGAGGCTGGATAATAATGTGCGACGATGATGGAACGAGCGGAACTACGCGAGAGAGAGACGCGGCGAAGAGAATGCGAGGTGGCGAGGGGTTCAAGTATAAGGATACCGAGGCATGCGCCGTTCTATCATATTGATCGCCATAGTAACGATTCTCTCTCCTCCAACGATGTTGGGATGCACTATAGCCCCGGGAGGAAGAGGGATGTCGGAGAGCGAGGAATCATGCGGGAGGAGATCGGGAGGAGAGAGAACAAGAGAGGGGAGAAAGGGGAGGTAGGTCGTACCGCATGGTGTACCACGCCACCCCACGATGCGCGGATGTGGGCCGCCGAGGGTTGAACGCGAGCGAGAATGCGAGACGAGGCGAGGCGCCAGTGGGACGAAGAGAAAGGAAGTCGTTGAGGGAGTCGTAGGGGGAGAAGGTATATATGTGACGAGAACAAGAACGAGTTGGAGAGGAAAGGAGGTAGAGAAACAGAGGGAGAGAACGGCGAGCGCGGGATGAGGAAGACTGCGAGAGACAAACAGCATCGGTGATCGAGATAGAATGATGATACGGGGGTGAAGAAGAGAAGAGGGATCGAGACGCGCACGGCGACTGGCAGGTGTACGTGCCGGGCTAGACGGAGAGAATGGTAGGAAGAAAGAGAGAGAAAGAGGAACGACAAAGATATCACGAGCGACGAAGAGCACCGGAGGTGGTGAACGGTGGCGGTTAGCTACTACAGAGCTAGCGCCAAAGCGGGCTGAAGCGGCAGTACCGCGCGGCGTTGCAGCCAAATGAATCTTAGTCCAGCGTTGGTCGCCGGCGAGGCCGCATCTGGCAAAGTACCCCTGCCGGGAGAGAGTGTTAGAATAGCCCCACGACCGAGATTTAGAAGGACAGCCCGCGCTACACGCGTCTCTCCATAACGGACGAGAAAAGTCAGAGGGATGTTCTCGCGATCCTGGCGATCGCGCGCGTTCCGAGGGTGAATCCCTGTCGTTCACCCTGACCCGATGCTGCGGCAGCTACCGAGCGAACGCGGGAAGCTCGACGAGCGGAACGAATCCATGATCGGACTGCGGATGCGTCCCTGAGCCTGTTTTGTACGTACACGCATACATACGCACATGCACACATACACATAGAAATCATACATCGAAATCCGCCAAGCCAGCCTCCCCCGTGATACCAGTTGCGATCGCGACGACCAGCTGGTGCTGTTGACGAGATTGGAGCTTAACCGAGTTATTCGTGCGACCGCGATCATCGTTCGCGGTGCGAATCGCGAGACTGGAGAGGAGTCCGAGAAGGTAAACGGTATCCGCGGGCGAACCCAACTCGCCGAGAGATGTTCGCGCTGCCCGATGATGCCGCGTCGTGGTGCGGACCGTCTGGACCATAGTGCGCACGGATTTTATCATCCGGTACGGGATAGCAGCGGACTATTACCGCACCGGAACATCGCTGCGTGGAAGCGATCACGTGCCCTCGACGGAGCACCTAGGACGATGCACCTGGCGAGCCCGGTGCAGATGCGGCCGGGCGAGCCCTGAGGATTCAGAACGATCGCTCCGTTTTTATCGCGCCGAGCGGACCGCCGAGGACAGCTGATCCTTCGAGGAGTCCAGGTCGAGGTTCGTTCTCGCTCGACGCAATTCGGCAGCCACGTGCGAGGACGAGCGGCGGTGAGGCGGCTGCGACGGCGACAACGGTGGCGAAAAAGAAGGTGGAGGAAATCGGCAACGTGGAGGTGGTGTTCCAAGTGATCCTCGACGAAGGAGGAGTGGCAGCCTCGCTCCGGCTACTCCGCGAGTAAACATGAGACGCTCGTGGACGCTCGTCGCGGCGATAGCCCTGGCAGCATCCGGTAAGTGATTTTTACTTTCAGGAGAATATCTCTACCGTTAGTCTGACGATGACCCTTACACATGAGCCTTAGTCGCGACGCGAACTCCGTCCACCGGTTGTCTCGCCGATCTGATTCTTTTTTCCCCTCGCTGAAAAAGAGAGATTGCTCTTCGAATTTGCGTGTGTTTCACTCCTATCCGTCCCTTCCACAAGTGTCCGTCGACGTCATGACGCGTCACCCGTTGCTCCAGGCTTCCGTCTCTCTTTCTGCCGACTCTGCGAACGCACGATAAAATCATGAAATGATGTTTCTTAAATATAATTTTGATCTCTTCTCTCTCAGCATCATTCTCGAGAATTAAAATCAGTTTATTATTCGGATCAGTGACATTCCTCTTACGTGGCTGATGATGTCACGATTTCGCTTCTCTCTCTCTCTCTTTCTCTCTCTCTTTTCTTTTTAATGATTCTTATTTTATGATACATAATAATATTAATAATATGTGATATGAAATATTACATCGATGTTCGAGTTCAAAGAATTTCAGTTTCTAGTAAATAAACTTTGCTTGGAAATCTTGTCATGCTTTCCTAGAACTTTACGAATCTTTATTAAACGAAAATAAGAAGAATCGATCAGCTTGAAAATTCCTTAAATTTGCAACTTTCAAATTTCGATCTCGCAGGAACGTTCGTTGTTATTAATCATCTCTTTTTGATATTGCAAACGTCAAATCTTGTTTCCGGACTTCACATGAGCCTTGTTCTCGTAAACAAATAAATTTCTTCGAGCTTGAAGGAATCGCAAGCAGCGAGTTTCGCTCAGACAAGTATGCTTGTCAATTCTTCATCTCTCTTTTGAGACATCTCTCGAAAAATCTCTTTAGCATTGTTGTCTGGATTACGGATGCGATTTTCTCTAGCTAGATACGCTTCTCCCAAAACTTCACCGTTTTGTTTACGTTACGAGGGAGTTTCTATTTCGCGAAAATGCTCGTCAAATCTATATCCGAACTCGAAAATCGCTGGCAGGCGGTTAAATTTCTTCAAGGTTGCCGTCTGGATTATAAGGGGGAGGTCGAATTTCGCTTTCGCGAGCGAGGGTGTTCCCTCATCTCTTGAACGTCGCTCTCTTGCTTTCGAAATCGGTGCTAGCTCGTTTCGAGCTTTGAATGGAACAGGCAGATGTAGAGCGCCGCAAACCCCCGGGAGGAGGAACAGGGAGGGTGGCAGAGATGGAGAGAAGAGGGAAGGACGCGGCATTTCAATATTGACGTCAACCCGCGACGCTTCCAGAGCGACGCGACGTCTCGTACCTCGTTAGCGGCACGTTGATGCCACCAGCTGGGGGTCGAAAATGTACGCGCATGCCGCCAAATCGGCGTTGCGTAAATATTTGTGCGCGACACTGATAGCATTCTTTTTGTTGGCTTATTTTGCATCCTCGACTAACGCGTAATCGCACGTCATCTTGACGTTCCTTTATGTCGTCTTCCTTTCCGCGTTTTCGAGGAAAACGACGGAAAAACAGAGATCATTGTTCGCCGAGATAGATTCATCCATTGATTGGTAGGAATATAAAAAACTGCTATCTCTTGAGATTTATCCATTGATGAGTGGAAAAATAAAGTTTGCAAAATTAAAAAACAGATTTTTCCAGATTGTTGTATGATTGATATAATGACTAATATAAAATAAATATCGAAAAAAATTCTTTCTCTAAAAATGCAGTGAAAAATTTTTATCATGTTTCAGATTTTTTATAGAGTATTTTTTTCATAAATACTTCTAGAATGCATTTATAAAATATAAATATTTATTAAATAATACAGATTTCTAGATACATTTAGAAAATGATTCAAAATTCATTTATCGTGTACGATTGTGTGATTTCTCTTTAAAGATATAACGCTAATTGTATTTCGAGATGACTTCAAAAAAAATGTTATTATATAAACAAAGCATTTAGTTACATCCATTTAAAAATAGCTGTTATTTTCCTTCAGTTTTAAAATGTGTTACGATAACTCATCAGAAACGGTTGCAATAAATTCAAGCGAATAGCCGTTTCCACTTGATGTTCACGCATCAGGAATGCCTCTTGTCGCATATTGCGCGCTAATTAATTAAAATGTGCCCGTTAAAAATATCGCTCAAACATGTCTCAATTGCGTTGCAATGCCAATGAATATTTCCATGCTCGCAAACAACACGAAAATTCCATTATGAGCGTTGTGTATTGACTGAGATCGAATGGAAACATTACCCGCTGCAGTCGCGGCACGTCAAAAGCTGTCTCGATTCGCGCTACCAAATTGTGCATGTTAGTCCCGTGTAAAATGTAAATTAGGAAGTTACCCATCTCGTCCACGCGTGTCGGGGGATCGTTCTGCCATGACGTATCGTGTTGATTAATTAGCATTCCACCACAGTTGTCGTCCGCGATGCATCCGGCGCCGTTGCAGACATCGCCAATCGGAATGGAAAATGATCGCAAAAATCGTAGTCATCCCACGCCGCAAGAAAGCACGGCAAGTGTTCTTCTCGGCAAGTGATTAATGTGAGCTTTCGTCTAGTCGGGGCGATCGATCGTTCCTCGAGAGAAATCTCTGGATGTAAAACGAGACATTTGTACGTGACATGAAAAGTTTCCCAAAGGAAATAAATAGAAACTTTGTCGATTATTATATTAAAATAAAATAATTAATAATTTTATTTCTCGCCGTTTTTTCACGCTTTCTTTCTGCTTTCTATAGAAAATATGTTAGAATGTACATATTTATTTTTTAGCAAAAAAATATGTTAATCTCTTTTAATATTTTTTTCTCTTTTTTCTGAAGAGTAAATATGTTAAAAAATAAAATACGTGTTGAAATTACACATTGCACATATATATATATATATATATATATATATATATATATAAAATAAATTTCTGTTTTAATATTACACATTTTTTTATTTAATGTCGCTATCAAAGATATGATTTCAAGAAAATTCCATGTTTGATTAATAATGTGTCTGATGATAAAAGAATCTTACATTTTAAGCATCTCGTTACATCGTATTGTGTTACTCGTTACTTCTTTTTTGTCTTTTTGGCCCATAATTACGCCTACTGAAATTTGTGGGAGAATTGCTGACGTGTCCACCTACCAGATCGTGCGTTCGTGACAATCGGCTAAGAAGAAAAGGAGATAGGAGACGTCAATCAAAACGTTTTCCTCGATCTTTCTTATATAAATCCTTTGACGACAATGTTTTTATACTGTAATCATCTCCATAATATTCTCATTTAGCGGGATTACCATATCATTCAAAGCAGAATTTTGAAAAGATGGTTTCGTAATGAGAAACTACTGCCTCCCAAAGGATTAATTTCATACAAAGTGTACTATCAATGTAGTTCCCTTTCATCTGGGTGCTGCGCAAGCAATTAAAGAGGATCGCATGTAAAGGAAATATTGCGAACATCATGTAACTTTTGGGCAATAAAGAGTCAACATCAATCATTCACGAATTCAATACGCATGAGAAAATATTATTTACCTTTTGCTGTATTCCATTTATATAGCATCATATTCGAATGCGAGACTAAAAATTTGGAATGTAAATATTCTTATATTTCCTGTATTGAAAAAAAAATGTGAAAAATTCATTAGAAAGAGAATTAACGTATATATTTATCCTTTTACTTACAATATTTTACAATATGATATGATATTTTCGCTTCGCGACAATCAATTATTACACTGATCACATCATTTGTATTAATTGTAAGAAATTTTATTAAGTAAAGATTGAACGATCCTAAAAGTTCAGTTAACTGCGTTATTTTTAACTTCAGAAAAGTTTATCGGTAATTCCAAGATTTTTGTGTAATCCGCTCTAAGAACCTCTGTGGGAGAAACCATGCTGTTGCTTGAAAATTTCAGACATTCTCAAAAGTCCGTTCAAGGAAAATCCCTGCGGAGAGATTCACTTCGCTTGACGAATCTCAGCGTTTCTTGGAAGAGTTTCTCTTAAAAAGTTGCGTATTTCAAAATGTTGCTCGTAACATTCTTTCCTCCCATTCGAAGCCACATCTTAAAAGTGTATCTCGGATACATTTTTGCAGAATATTTTCAAAGAAGATATAGATTTCTTCAAATAGTATTAAATATAAAACATGTTATAAAGAAATATAGTGTGCAATACATTTTATATATTACTTTGATTTTAAAAAATGAAGTTTTATTACATTTTTTGTACATGTGCGTGGGTGAAACATGCGATCGCTCTAATAAAATAACGAAGATAACTGATATATGTGTGTATCACATATATTAAATTTTTCGAAAACTGATTAAAGTTACTCTCAAAATCACCGGTGGACATATGTTCGCGTCGCAAAATATTCTTTTCGATTGATCTAATCTATTGATCATATTTCCGTTATATTGGAAATAAAGGGTTATAATATCTCGCAAGAATAACTTAGATTATAGTATTTTAAAAATAGGATATTCTCTTTATATCAAATGTGCATTAATGGAAAAGAATGTGATAAAGATGCTTCCTATCTTATCACCATTATAATATATAGATATTTTTTATCATGTGCATATATATTTATGTATATATAATATATATATATATATATATATATATATATATATAATAAATTTCTACAATATATTGAGAAAGTTAAGTGATTGAAAAAATTCCTATAAGCATTGACTGAAAAAATGCTTTATTAAAAATGATGAAAGAATTATAAATTCAGAGATTCTCAGTATGATTTAGGCATTTGTGATTTATTCTTTGTTGAATATTTTATGAATATAAGTTTCTCTGTTTACCGCATCAATGATTATTGAATTTTCTTGGGAATTTTTAAAGCGTTAAAAAAGTAATTACAAATTTCGAATACGATTTCAGAAATATTAAATATATTTTAATAAATTACTTCAACCAGATGTTTATTGGAAACTTTTTCCACTTACTCGATATTCTCTCTCTGTGTAGAAACTTTACCGT